CACACTCATAGACTCATACACACTCACAGACTCATACACACTCATAGACTCATACACACTCACAGACTCATACACACTCACAGACTCATACACACTCACAGACTCATACACACTCACAGACTCATACACACTCACAGACTCACACTCACAGACTCATACACACTCACAGACTCATACACACTCACAGACTCACACTCACACTCACAGACTCACACACACTCACAGACTCACACACACTCACAGACTCATACACACTCATAGACTCATACACACTCACAGACTCATACACACTCACAGACTCATACACACTCACAGACTCACACTCACAGACTCACACACACTCACAGACTCACACACACTCACAGACTCATACACACTCACAGACTCATACACACTCACAGACTCATACACACTCACAGACTCATACACACTCACAGACTCATACTCACACACACTCACAGACTCACACACACTCACAGACTCATACACACTCACAGACTCATACACACTCACAGACTCACACTCACAGACTCACACACACTCACAGACTCACACACACTCACAGACTCATACACACTCACAGACTCATACACACTCACAGACTCATACACACTCACAGACTCATACACACTCACAGACTCATACTCACACACACTCACAGACTCACACACACTCACAGACTCATACACACTCACAGACTCATACACACTCACAGACTCACACACACTCACAGACTCACACACACTCACAGACTCATACACACTCACAGACTCATACACACTCACAGACTCATACACACTCACAGACTCATACACACTCACAGACTCATACACACTCACAGACTCATACACACTCACAGACTCATACACACTCACAGACTCATACACACTCACAGACTCATACACACACACAGATTGGATGAAACATACAGGACATGTGCATCCTTTAGTCTGTATAAAATGGGAACGTGAACTACAATTTAGTTTTACATTGTGTTGCATTTAGGTCTTATGGGAAAAGCTGCAAATCCACTTTAAATGTATTTAAATGTATAGATAAATGTATAATTGCAAAAACATATATCCCCGTTTTGAGAATTTGTTAAAGAATATGTGTTCCTGTAGCTACAATCTACAATATTTGAAAGGATTTGCTCAAGAAGAGGTGAAACTAAAGGCATTAAAATAGAACAAGATTTTCAAAAAAACTGCTTGATAACTTTAATCTGGAGGGTTTGGTAATAGTTCTGTAAAATACTTAGATTATCTGTTTTTTACATTCTGTTTTTTAGGTTTTGACAATTCTTTACAGTTTGAGAAACCAACAGAAAGTACATAACATTTAAATTGTTTGCAACTGAACTCCTCATACGTGTTTTTGTGTTTGCTCTCAGTCGTCCAGGGATTAGTCAAACACATTAAACACAGAAGGAGAGAAACCCAGATGAAAGAGAGAAACACAGATGAAAGAGAGAAACACAGATGAAAGAGAGAAACCCAGATGAAAGAGAGAAACACAGATGAAAGAGAGAAACACAGATGAAAGAGAGAAACACAGATGAAAGAGAGAAACACAGATGAAGAAGAGAAACACAGATGAAAGAGAGAAACACAGATGAAAGAGAAACACAGATGAAAGAGAGAAACACAGCTGAAAGAGAAACACAGATGAAAGAGAGAAACACAGATGAAAGAGAGAAACACAGATGAAAGAGAAACACAGATGAAAGAGAGAGACACAGATGAAAGAGAGAAACACAGATGAAAGAGAGAAACACAGATGAAAGAGAGAAACACAGATGAAAGAGAGAAACACAGATGAAAGAGAGAAACACAGATGAAAGAGAGAAACACAGATGAAAGAGAGAAACACAGATAAAAGAGAGAAACACAGATGAAAGAGAGAAACACAGATGAAAGAGAGAGACACAGATGAAAGAGAGACACAGATGAAAGAGAGAAACACAGATGAAAGAGAGAGACACAGATGAAAGAGAGAAACACAGATGAAAGAGAGAAACACAGATGAAGGAGAGAAACACAGATGAAAGAGAGAAACACAGATGAAAGAGAGAAACACAGATGAAAGAGAGAAACACAGATGAAAGAGAGAAACAGATGAAAGAGAGAAACACAGATGAAAGAGAGAAACACAGATGAAAGAGAGAAACACAGATGAAAGAGAGAAACACAGATAAAAGAGAGAAACACAGATGAAAGAGAGAAACACAGATGAAAGAGAGAAACACAGATGAAAGAGAGAAACACAGATGAAAGAGAGAAACACAGATGAAAGAGAGAAACACAGATGAAAGAGAGAAACACAGATGAAAGAGAGAAACACAGATGAAAGAGAGAAACACAGATGAAAGAGAGAAACACAGATGAAAGAGAGAAACACAGATGAAAGAGAGAAACACAGATGAAAGAGAGAAACACAGATGAAAGAGAGAAACACAGATGAAAGAGAGAAACACAGATGAAAGAGAGAAACACAGATGAAAGAGAGAAACACAGATGAAGAGAGAGAAACACAGATGAAAGAGAGAGAAACACAGATGAAAGAGAGAAACACAGATGAAAGAGAGAAACACAGATGAAAAGAGAAACACAGATGAAAGAGAGAAACACAGATGAAAGAGAGAAACACAGATGAAAGAGAGAAACACAGATGAAAGAGAGAAACACAGATGAAAGAGAGAAACACAGATGAAAGAGAGAGACACAGATGAAAGAGAGAAACACAGATGAAGAGAGAAACACAGATGAAAGAGAGAAACACAGATGAAAGAGAGAAACACAGATGAAAGAGAGAAACACAGATGAAAGAGAGAAACACAGATGAAAGAGAGAAACACAGATGAAAGAGAGAAACACAGATGAAAGAGAGAAACACAGATGAAAGAGAGAAACACAGATGAAAGAGAGAAACACAGATGAAAGAGAGAAACACAGATGAAAGAGAGAAACACAGATGAAAGAGAGAAACACAGATGAAAGAGAGAAACACAGATGAAAGAGAGAAACACAGATGAAAGAGAGAAACACAGATGAAAGAGAGAAACACAGATGAAAGAGAGAAACACAGATGAAAGAGAGAAACACAGATGAAAAGAGAGAACACAGTGAAAGAGAGAAACACAGATGAAAGAGAGAGACACAGATGAAAGAGAGAGACACAGATGAAAGAGAGAAACACAGATGAAAGAGAGAAACACAGATGAAAGAGAGAGACACAGATGAAAGAGAAACACAGATGAAAGAGAGAAACACAGATGAAAGAGAGAGACACAGACGAAAGAGAGAAACACAGATGAAAGAGAGAAACACAGATGAAAGAGAGAAACACAGATGAAAGAGAGAAACACAGATGAAAGAGAGAGACACAGATGAAAGAGAGAGACACAGATGAAAGAGAGAAACACAGATGAAAGAGAGAAACACAGATGAAAGAGAGAAACACAGATGAAAGAGAAACACAGATGAAAGAGAGAAACACAGATGAAAGAGAGAAACACAGATGAAAGAGAGAGACACAGATGAAAGAGAAACACAGATGAAAGAGAGAAACACAGATGAAAGAGAGAAACACAGATGAAAGAGAGAGACACAGATGAAAGAGAGAAACACAGATGAAAGAGAGAAACACAGATGAAAGAGAGAAACACAGATGAAGGAGAGAAACACAGATGAAAGAGAGAAATACAGATGAAAGAGAGAAACACAGATGAAAGAGAGAAACACAGATGAAGGAGAGAAACACAGATGAAAGAGAAACACAGATGAAAGAGAGAAACACAGATGAAAGAGAGAAACACAGATGAAAGAGAGAAACACAGATGAAAGAGAGAAACACAGATGAAAGAGAGAAACACAGATGAAAGAGAGAAACACAGATGAAGGAGAGAAACACAGATGAAAGAGAGAAACACAGATGAAGGAGAGAAACACAGATGAAAGAGAGAGACACAGATGGAGAGAAACCTCCCTTTGCTTCCTCCATATGTTACATTGTGTTACATTGTGCAGAGAAAATGCAGAAAAGGCGTAAAAGTGAGTATTACAGTATTATAACAGACAAACTGTGCACTCACCGCAGCTGCCTTTAGCATTAGCACCATCCCTGTGATCCCTGTGTCCTTTTGTCCCTGTGATCCCTGTGTCCTTATGTCCCTGTGATCCCTGTGTCCTTATGTCCCTGTGATCCCTGTGTACTTCTGTCCCTGTGATCCCTGTGTCCCTGTGTCCTTTTGTCCCTGTGATCCCTGTGTCCTTATGTCCCTGTGATCCCTGTGTCCTTATGTCCCTGTGATCCCTGTGTCCTTATGTCCCTGTGATCCCTGTGTCCTTATGTCCCTGTGATCCCTGTGTACTTCTGTCCCTGTGATCCCTGTGTCCCTGTGTCCTTTTGTCCCTGTGATCCCTGTGTCCTTATGTCCCTGTGATCCCTGTGTCCTTATGTCCCTGTGATCCCTGTGTCCTTATGTCCCTGTGATCCCTGTGTCCTTATGTCCCTGTGATCCCTGTGCACTTATGTCCCTGTGATCCCTGTGTCCCTGTGTCTGTCCCTGTGTCCCTTTGTCCTTATTTCCCTGTGATCCCTGTGTCCCTGTTTCCACCAGTCCCCACAGCTCAGGGACTAACCTCTCTCTGGTGGAAACAGGGACACAGGGATCACAGGGACATAAGGGCATAAGGACACAGGGACAGATATAGGGACACAGGGACATAAGGACACAGGGACACAGGGATCACAGGGACATAAGGACACAGGGATCACAGGGACACAGGGACATAAGGACACCAGGGACAGACACAGGGACATAAGGACACAGGGACACATGGATCACAGTGACAGACACAGGGATCACAGGGACATAAGGACACAGGGACAGACACAGGGACACAGGGATCACAGGGACATAAGGACACAGGGATCACAGGGACACAGGGACATAAGGACACAGGGACAGACACAGGGACATAAGGACACAGGGACACATGGATCACAGTGACAGACACAGGGATCACAGGGACATAAGGACACAGGGACAGACACAGGGACACAGGGATCACAGGGACATAAGGACACAGGGACACAAGGACAGACACAGGGATCACAGGGACAGACACAGGGACACAAGGACACAGGGACACAGGGATCACAGGGACAGACACAGGGATCACAGGGACATAAGGACACAGGGACGCAGGGATCACAGGGACAGACACAGGGACATAAGGACACAGGGACACAAGGATCACAGGGACATAAGGACACAGGGACAGACACAGGGATCACAGGGACATAAGGACACAGGGACAGACACAGGGACACAAGGACACAGGGACACAGGGATAACAGGGACAGACACGGGGATCACAGGGACATAAGGACACAGGGACGCAGGGATCACAGGGACAGACACAGGGACATAAGGACACAGGGACAGACACAGGGACACAAGGACAAAGGGATCACAGGGACATAAGGACACAGGGACAGACACAGGGATCACAGGGACATAAGGACACAGGGACAGACACAGGGACACAGGGATCACAGGGACATAAGGACACAGGGATCACAGGGACACAGGGACAGACACAGGGACATAAGGACACAGGGACACATGGATCACAGTGACAGACACAGGGATCACAGGGACATAAGGACACAGGGACACAGGGACAGACACAGGGATCACAGGGACAGACACAGGGACATAAGGACACAGGGACACAAGGATCACAGGGACATAAGGACACAGGGACAGACACAGGGATCACAGGGACATAAGGACACAGGGACAGACACAGGGACACAAGGACACAGGGACACAGGGATAACAGGGACAGACACAGGGATCACAGGGACATAAGGACACAGGGACGCAGGGATCACAGGGACAGACACAGGGACATAAGGACACAGGGACAGACACAGGGACACAAGGACAAAGGGATCACAGGGACATAAGGACACAGGGACAGACACAGGGATCACAGGGACATAAGGACACAGGGACAGACACAGGGACACAAGGACACAGGGACAGACACAGGGATCACAGGGACATCATAAGGACACAGGGACGCAGGGATCACAGGGACAGACACAGGGATCACAGGGACATAAGGACACAGGGACGCAGGGATCACAGGGACAGACACAGGGATCACAGGGACATAAGGACACAGGGACGCAGGGATCACAGGGACAGACACAGGGATCACAGGGACATAAGGACACAGGGACGCAGGGATCACAGGGACACAGGGATGGTGCTAATGCTAAAGGAGTGCACTGTTTGTCTGTAATCGTCGGATCGTACCAAAGCAGGTGAAATAGTGGTATCTTCTCACTGTCCTCGGGCTGCAGACTAAAGGAAACTGAAAGAACTCTGCACTGTCCTCGGGCTGCAGACTAAAGGAAACTGAAAGAACTGTGCACTGTCCTCGGGCTGCAGACTAAAGGAAACTGACTGAAAGAACTGTGCACTGTCCTCGGGCTGCAGACTAAAGGAAACTGACTGAAAGAACTCTGCACTGTCCTCGGGCTGCAGACTAAAGGAAACTGACTGAAAGAACTGTGCACTGTCCTCGGGCTGCAGACTAAAGGAAACTGACTGAAAGAACTCTGCACTGTCCTCGGGCTGCAGACTAAAGGAAACTGACTGAAAGAACTCTGCACTGTCCTCGGGCTGCAGACTAAAGGAAACTGACTGAAAGAACTCTGCACTGTCCTCGGGCTGCAGACTAAAGGAAACTGACTGAAAGAACTCTGCACTGTCCTCGGGCTGCAGACTAAAGGAAACTGACTGACAGAACTCTGCACTGTCCTCGGGCTGCAGACTAAAGGAAACTGACTGACAGAACTGTGCACTGTCCTCGGGCTGCAGACTAAAGGAAACTGACTGAAAGAACTGTGCACTGTCCTCGGGCTGCAGACTAAAGGAAACTGACTGAAAGAACTGTGCACTGTCCTCGGGCTGCAGACTAAAGGAAACTGACTGAAAGAACTGTGCACTGTCCTCGGGCTGCAGACTAAAGGAAACTGACAGAACTGTGCACTGTCCTCGGGCTGCAGACTAAAGGAACCTGACTGAAAGAACTGTGCACTGTCCTCGGGCTGCAGACTAAAGGAAACTGACTGAAAGAACTCTGCACTGTCCTCGGGCTGCAGACTAAAGGAAACTGACTGAAAGAACTGTGCACTGTCCTCGGGCTGCAGACTAAAGGAAACTGAAAGAACTCTGCACTGTCCTCGGGCTGCAGACTAAAGGAAACTGACTGACAGAACTGTGCACTGTCCTCGGGCTGCAGACTAAAGGAAACTGAAAGAACTCTGCACTGTCCTCGGGCTGCAGACTAAAGGAAACTGAAAGAACTGTGCACTGTCCTCGGGCTGCAGACTAAAGGAAACTGAAAGAACTGTGCACTGTCCTCGGGCTGCAGACTAAAGGAAACTGAAAGAACTGTGACTAAAGTTTCAATCAAACCAGCTCCGTGTTAATCGTATTTCAATAGCAGTAATCAGGGAAGAAATGAGCTCTACTGGAATAACCAGTTAGCAAACCATTCAAACTACGACCACATCCAAAATATCTAACTAGTAAAGCCAAGAGACATCGCTTTGGCAGCAAAAATTGTGAAAATTGTCTCAAATGTTCTTCATTCGAGCAAATTGTGACTGCACTGCAACAAAACAAAATGATCTTGTTTTAAAAAGATACAGAAATGTCTCCCTTGGATTAAGATGAGATACTTTTGGCACAGATGTGTTAAAAGTGTGCAACGTGTTAAAGGTTAAAAATATAGTCTGTGCAGGATACATAAGTACAATAGTAGAGCTGGTGTTTTATGAACGACAAAAAAATAGATAAAAACCACTTCCAAGTGATTATTACCTCATATTTCATCATTTTTTGCAGCGTTTACAACACGACATATAGATCTATTTCATAAAAATCATAACAATAGTTCCTCGCTAGTTTTCATAAATGTATTTCTGTCTCTGTCTTTACATCCACTTGTTCAGACAGAAAAGTGAAAAGACAGGACCCGCCTCCCTCGGCCAATCAGCTCTCAGCCCTCAGATGACAGGACCCGCCTCCCTCGGCCAATCAGCTCTCAGCCCTCAGATGATAATGTGTTGTTTTCATCTGGTGTTTTCTGGACACGATAAACCACTGCAGCCCTGGTCCAAGTACATCTGCTAAAGTGTTGTGTTTGGAAAGCAGAGTGTTCATAATAAAACATTGATATAAGAATAACTGAGAATAGCAGAAGTTCCATACGTGGACCGTCCACACGCCGCTGGGCTACGGGGAACATGGACATCACTTATTTACGGCGGCCATTTTAGGCAATAGGCTGAATAAATCATTATAGACAACAGGAAGTGGCCTAGATACGGCACCGACCGAGACTTTGCATCACTGCATTCACAACGAAAGGACTCGAACTTCTGAATGTGAAAAACATCCACACAGCTTCTTTGCTTTCAAATGTATTAAACCTGCTGTGTTTTTAGACTGTTTTTACATGATCCATCCATGTTTCCAGCTTTCTCTACACACCATTTAAAGAAACACATATATTGTATGTGTATGTGTGTATATGTGTATGTGTGTGTATATATTATCGCGTGACTAGGACTTTAACATTGTAACCAGGTGTGGAAACATGTCTGTGTCTGTAAAGGGGTTTGTTCACACTGAAGCTACAAAAGTGAGACAATAGGCCACAAATTAGATCTTAATAATCAGCAGATATATGTTTGTCATGTGTTCAAATCCCTCGCGGTCCAATCGAAGTTGCAAGAACAAAACTGTTTTATAAATTAGTCCAGTGTCTGTTTGTTTTATGTAACGACCTGATCCTTTGAAGTTTTGTTGATTCAGAGATGATTTTTTTACACAGAATAGAAACAAATTCATACTTTCTTATTAAACTAATTAAATGAAACCAGAACATTTTTTTTTCTCAAGTTAAATTGAGGGAAACCATCACGTCTAAGGGTTATTAACAGTTGTATTGATTTTTAATGATTCCTTTTTAAATGAAGTGATTTCCTGATGTTGTGTTAATGTTAATCTGTGGGATTTATTTTCTGTCTCTGAGTCACAGAATGGTCCAATCAGAGGCTGAGCTGGTCGTTTTAAAATGTCGCCAAAAATCAATCTTTCCATTTGATTTTATCCACACTTTCTCTTTGATCTGCCTGTGTTTAAAATCTATTTTCCAATCTATGACAGTAAGTTTTGAGTCATAGCTGTAGGAGCCATAAACTGAATACAACAGTGGGTTGTGATTTGATTGGGTGATAGGCCGGGTGTGGGTCACATGGTTACTGGGGCGGAGTCTACTTAGTTCTCACCTCAGTTTTATGAATGAAATCAGTAGTAGAGAGGGGGGCTTGGTCGCCGTAGTTTTTGTTGACCGTTCGTTTGTGTTTGTTTCTTTTGTACTTTTGTTTTCTCACTGTTCCGTTCGATATCAAGACGTCTACGTTATGTTATCACCTCATCCGTGTTTCTTTTCATTAAAACGCCATCAAGCTTAGTCCCTGACGAAGTGTGCTCTGTGACGGCCAAGCAGCGCGTCATACAATCAGACGAACCTGGTTTCTCCTCTTCAGCGGCACTAGAGTCGCTACAATAACCTTCTAAAGTCCAGATACTTTAATGTGAACAGTCTCCAGTAAAAGACACTTATTAAAAGAAAGTGCAGATGTTTGTCCCTGTGTTCACGTTTACTACAGGGACACACGGCCTTATTTAAAACCGTCCAAAACGACTGAATGGCCTCGAGTTTAGATTCATTTTTCCCTGAAACAACAGGCTCCTCTCTCTTATATAAACAACTGGAGTAAACAGTGCTTTGTCGCTCACACACTGACACACTGCAGATGCCTTTGGTTGACAATCACTCCACTTCCAGAGCATTTCCTCCACAGAAACAGCTAAGAATGATGGAGGATTTGGGGTTATTAAAGTGAATGGTGGATGTGTCTTTGCACCTGGCAGGAAGTTGGAGATGAGTGTGAGCGCGGTGCTTGGCGAGGCAGGCGGACACGCTCGCGCCAAAGCCTCTCTTCCAACTCATTATGTCCTCCATGACTTCCTGGAAAGAGAAGAATATGAAAGAATAAAAAACAAAATGTCAGAGATTAGAATGAGATTACCTTCTCCTTTGGATGGACCAGAGCCACAGAGGTCTCTTCATCAGGATCACTGCAACACAAGAGCTTTTAAAGAGACGGAGGATGAAGGAAACACACACATATAGACACACACTCACACAGAGAGAAACACACACAGACACAGAGAGAGAGAGAAACACACACACCCCCACCACAGAGTGTGAAACACACATACTGTATATAGATACAGACAGAGAGTGAGAGACACACACACACTAACACAGAGATACAAACACACACACAGGTACGGGCGGCACGGTGGCTGAGTGGTTAGCACTCTCGCCTCTCAGCAAGAAGGTCCTGGGTTCGAATCCCGGTTGGACCAGGGCCTTTCTGAGTGGAGTTTGCATGTTCTCCCCGTGTCTGCGTAGGTTTCCTCCAGGTACTCCGGTTTCCCCTACCACTAATACATGTACAATAGTTCTAACATGTGCCTCCTGTACTGGCCCCTCCCATCTCTGTGTGGAGTGAGAGACCGATGCCCAAAGTTAACAATTGTAAACCGCTTTGAGACTCTGGTCTGTGAAAGGCGCTATATAAATAAATAAAGATTACTTAGGAAATTAGCATCTCTGCTATAACCTGGTACATCTCTCCTTTTGTGTTAATGCTTAACTGTCCCTGTTCAAATAAAGTACATACAATACACACATACAGAGAGACACACACACACACACACACACACACAACAGCATCATATTAAACACAGTAGTTCTTTACGGCCTGTGGTACGTTGGCAGAGGACACAGGTCGTACTCTGGGTCCCACTCCAAGTATTTGGGGACAGGGAGGTGGGCGTGGAGGCCTGGGGCTGGGTTCTGCATCACAGCGTCAGGTTACATTTGGTTACGTTAAGTTACGTTTGATGAAATACAAAAGGAGACAGAGAAACTTACAAAGATCCGCAGAGGGTGAGCCGGGATCGGTTTAAAATCAGGAGCAGAGAAACTAAAAGTAAAACCTTCTAACTTTGCTTCTGCTCCATCTGTGTTTTCCTCCTGCTCCAAAAGCAATAACACAGATCAGTAACTTTAATCAGCGTCCACAAACAAACTTTTCTGATTGAAACTTGGTAAATCCCTCATATTTCAGAAAGTGCAGAAAGTGCAGCTGTTGGTCTCACATGCTCAAAGAGGAGACTCCCAGAATCCTTTGCAGCGCCCTCTTGAGGTTCTTCTTCCTGTAACGTTATCAAATGGATTGGTTTTATTTTGATCGACACATCAACAAAGTTACAGCTCAAACCTACAGAACCAGAACCAAATATGTTGTACAGTATATATATATATATATATATATATATATATGAGTGTGTTCACAGTAAAGTGACAATATAAGTATCTGGACTTTAAAAGGTTATAACTTTCTTTCATAGATTGGAAAAAAGATTTCAAACACAGACAGATTGAAGAGATAGTGTGTAAAATATCAAAAGGAAAGATTGACATAAAAATGTTTAGCAGCATTTTAAACGACCAAATGAGCCTCTGATTGGACCATTCTACTGTGACGCCAGTTACATAGAAAATAAATGTCCTCAGTCTGAAAAAGCAGAAGATGAAATCCCACAGATTTACATTAACACAACAGGAGGAAATCACTTCACATAAAAATTTATTAATTAATTAAATCACACCTGATATGTATAACGGACGTGATGAGGACGGTCCTCTTTTTTCTAAAAATTAAACTTGAGAAAAATAAAAATCTGGTCTGTTTTCACATTTAATTGGTTGACAATAAGAAAGTATCACTTTGTTTCTACTTTGTGTAAAAAAGTAGAATCTCTGAATCAAATGTGGATCTGAAAATACCATCAAACTTCCGCAGCTCATTCCGTCAAATCATCGTCCGTGACATAAAATAAACAGGCCGCTGCAGGAAACTTGTCTAATGTATAAAACAGTTTTGTTCTAGAGACTTCTAAAGAACAGAGGTGTTTGGAAACATGAAAAACATTAAATATCTACTGACTATTCAAATCTAAGTTTTGGCCTTTTGTCACACTTTTGTGCCCTTTAGTGTGAACAAGCCCATATATATATATATATATATATATATATATATATATATATAACTCTGCACTATATACAGTATATACTGTATTTTTTGACACCTTAGAATCTCGTGCACCAAATAGCGCAAACAAAATGCACTATTTTTGGTAAATACCAGGCTCACTCCACATTAAACTGTTCCATGGTCGATCGAACTTTAAGCAACAGTAAAATAAATGTATGAACTAAAAATGTTTGTCCCTAAAAACAATGTAATACTATGTAGTCTATATATATACATAGTATAATCTCAGAAGAGCAGCTACAACTATTTCAAGAAAAATGGATGCCTTTCAGAAAAATGTATTGAACTTTGGGACATAATAGTAACATTGTGTTGGAGGCTTTGTGAACGGAAGAAAGAACAGGACAGAGACTCTTTAGAGGTTAATGTTGGAGATATAACTATAATCAATCTGTAATTATAGATTTGACATTATTCAATACTAACTACGGTCAAACTGGGCGTTTTGGACGTAACAATCGTGTCCACTTTTGATACGTCCAAAACTTGTCTTGGAGCTCTGTTAATAATACGGGCGTGAATGATTCTGTGTCTAAGTAGAGCGCCCTCTACTGGACAAACGGCTGGAGACAAAACAAGAGTCTGAACATTCAGCAGAGACGGCTGTGACCAAATGTAACACATTGGTACAGTTTAGTTTGGAGTGAGCCGTATATACTGTATATTATGAAAGACTGGTGTTGAAGCATTTACATTGTGTACATTGTGTGTGCTCTGTGTGTGTCTAACTACTGTCCTGTCTGTGCGATGCAACACTGACATTTCCCCACCGTGGGACAAATAAAGGACTCGACAGAAGCAGATTATTCCTTTTCCACAGCATTGATTTAACCAGGATTTAATGTCTATCTTTCCATATTTGACAAACACATGTCACGTTTCATATTCTTTAGATATTGAAACTTTAAAGAATGTTTAAAATGAAACGAATACGTTTTTTTCAGATCTGTTGATTTTTTCACTTCAGTTTTTGCTTTAGCATCAGTCAAACACAAACGCACCTCAAAGATAGTCGGACGAGATCCATTTTAGGGTTTTATTGTCTCTATAAAGAATCTCTAACATTTGCAATTAAACCACATTACTTTGGTTTAAAGTTCTTGTATAAATAAATAATTAGTTGGTGCTTGATCTCCCACTTGGCATGTTTTGGTCATTACTGTTCAGAATCTACACATGTTTTCCCTTCCTCAAAGTCTCTGCACAGTGCGACAAATGGGGCATCACTAAAGAACAATAAATTAGAGGAAACAGATATATTTTGTGTCGATAGTAAAAATCTGAGGAGTTTTGGGACTTACTGCAGGAAGAGGTCGCAGAGGTCGCAGAGGTCGAGGCAAAGAGGCGGAAATGTACGACGTGTAGGCCTCGAATAACGACACAGGTTTGTAATCCATGAGTTTGTAATGATGAGGGACCTGCAGAAGAGAGATTAGCAGAGAGAGGCCAGAGAGAGACCAGAGAGAGACCAGAGAGAGACCAGAGAGAGACCAGAGAGAGACCAGAGACAGACCAGAGAGAGAGACCAGAGAGAGACCAGAGAGAGACCAGAGACAGACCAGAGAGAGACCAGAGACAGACCAGAGAGAGACCAGAGAGAGACCAGAGAGAGACCAGAGAGAGACCAGAGAGAGACCAGAGAGAGAGACCAGAGAGAGACCAGAGAGAGACCAGAGACAGACCAGAGAGAGACCAGAGACAGACCAGAGAGAGACCAGAGAGAGACCAGAGAGAGACCAGAGAGAGACCAGAGAGAGACCAGAGAGAGACCAGAGAGAGACCAGAGAGAGACCAGAGAGAGACCAGAGAGAGAGACCAGAGAGAGAGACCAGAGAGAGACTATAGAGAGAGAGACCAGAGAGAGAGACCAGAGAGAGACCAGAGAGAGAGACCAGAGAGAGAGACCAGAGAGAGACCAGAGAGAGACCAGAGAGAGAGACCAGAGAGAGACCAGAGAGAGAGACCAGCGAGAGACCAGAGAGAGACCAGAGAGAGACCAGAGAGAGAGACCAGAGAGAGACCAGAGAGAGAGACCAGAGAGAGAGACCAGAGAGAGACCAGAGTGAGAGACCAGAGAGAGAGACCAGAGAGAGACCAGAGAGAGAGACCAGAGAGAGAGACCAGAGAGAGACCAGAGAGAGACCAGAGAGAGACCAGAGAGAGAGACCAGAGAGAGACCAGAGAGAGACCAGAGAGAGACCAGAGAGAGAGACCAGAGAGAGAGACCAGAGAGAGACCAGAGAGAGAGACCAGAGAGAGAGACCAGAGAGAGACCAGAGAGAGAGACCAGAGAGAGACCAGAGAGAGAGACCAGAGAGAGAGACCAGAGAGAGACCAGAGAGAGACCAGAGAGAGAGACCAGAGAGAGAGACCAGAGAGAGACTAGAGAGAGACCAGAGAGAGAGACCAGAGAGAGACCAGAGAGAGACCAGAGAGAGAGACCAGAGAGCAACCAGAGAGAGACCAGAGAGAGACCAGAAAGAGAGACCAGAGAGCAACCAGAGAGAGACCACAGAGAGACCAGAGAGAGACCAGAGAGAGAGACCAGAGAGAGAGACCAGAGAGAGACCAGAGAGCAACCAGAGAGAGACCAGAGAGCAACCAGGAGAGAGACCAGAGAGAGACCAGAGAGCAACCAGAGAGAGACCAGAGAGCAACCAGAGAGTGACCAGAGAGAGACCAGAGAGAGACCAGAGAGAGACCAGAGAGCAACCAGAGAGAGACCAGAGAGCAACCAGAGAGAGACCAGAGAGAGACCAGAGAGCAACCAGAGAGAGATACCAGAGAGAGACCAGAGAGAGACCAGAGAGCAACCAGAGAGCAACTAGAGAGCAACCAGAGAGAGACCAGAGAGAGACCAGAGAGAGACCAGAGAGAGACCAGAGAGAGAGACCAGAGAGCAACCAGAGAGCAACCAGAGAGCAACCAGAGAGCAACCAGAGAGAGACCAGAGAGAGACCAGAGAGAGACCAGAGAGAGACCAGAGAGAGACCAGAGAGAGACCAGAGAGAGACCAGAGAGAGAGACAACCAGAGAGAGACCAGAGAGAGACCAGAGAGAGACCAGAGAGCGACCAGAGAGAGACCAGAGAGAGACCAGAGAGAGACCAGAGAGAGACCAGAGAGAGACCAGAGAGAGAGACCAGAGAGAGACCAGAGAGAGAGACCAGCGAGAGACCAGAGAGAGACCAGAGAGAGACCAGAGAGAGAGACCAGAGAGAGACCAGAGAGAGAGACCAGAGAGAGAGACCAGAGAGAGACCAGAGTGAGAGACCAGAGAGAGAGACCAGAGAGAGACCAGAGAGAGAGACCAGAGAGAGAGACCAGAGAGAGACCAGAGAGAGACCAGAGAGAGACCAGAGAGAGAGACCAGAGAGAGAGACCAGAGAGAGACCAGAGAGAGAGACCAGAGAGAGAGACCAGAGAGAGACCAGAGAGAGAGACCAGAGAGAGACCAGAGAGAGAGACCAGAGAGAGAGACCAGAGAGAGACCAGAGAGAGACCAGAGAGAGAGACCAGAGAGAGAGACCAGAGAGAGACTAGAGAGAGACCAGAGAGAGAGACCAGAGAGAGACCAGAGAGAGACCAGAGAGAGGGACCAGAGAGCAACCAGAGAGAGACCAGAGAGAGAGAGAGAGAGAGACCAGAGAGCAACCAGAGAGAGAGAGACCAGAGAGAGACCAGAGAGAGACCAGAGAGAGAGAGAGAGAGACCAGAGAGAGACCAGAGAGAGACCAGAGAGAGACCAGAGAGCAACCAGAGAGAGACCAGAGAGAGACCAGAGAGAGACCAGAGAGAGACCAGAGAGAGACCAGAGAGACCAGAGAGAGACCAGAGAGAGACCAGAGAGAGACCAGAGAGAGACCAGAGAGAGACCAGAGAGAGACCAAGAGACCAGAGAGAGAGAGAGAGAGACCAGAGAGACCAGAGAGAGACCAGAGAGAGACCAGAGAGAGACCAGAGAGACCAGAGGAGCAACTAGAGAGCAACCAGAGAGAGACCAGAGAGAGACCAGAGAGAGAGACCAGAGAGCAACCAGAGAGCAACCAGAGAGCAACCAGAGAGCAACCAGAGAGAGACCAGAGAGAGACCAGAGAGAGACCAGAGAGAGACCAGAGAGAGACCAGAGAGAGACCAGAGAGAGACCAGAGAGAGACCAGAGAGAGAGACCAGAGAGAGACCAGAGAGACCAAGAGAGACCAGAGAGAGACCAGAGAGAGACCAGAGAGAGACCAGAGAGAGACCAGAGAGAGACCAGAGAGAGACCAGAGAGAGACCAGAGAGAGACCAGAGAGAGACCAGAGAGAGACCAGAGAGAGACCAGAGAGAGACCAGAGAGAGACCAGAGAGAGACCAGAGAGAGACCAGAGAGAGACCAGAGAGAGACCAGAGAGAGACCAGAGGGAGACCAGAGAGCAACCAGAGAGAGGCCAGAGAGAGACCAGAGAGAGACCAGAGAGAGACCAGAGAGAGACCAGAGAGAGACCAGAGAGAGACCAGAGAGAGACCAGAGAGAGACCAGAGAGCAACCAGAGAGAGACCAGAGAGAGACCAGAGAGAGACCAGAGAGAGACCAGAGAGAGACCAGAGAGAGACCAGAGAGAGACCAGAGAGAGACCAGAGAGAGAGACCAGAGAGAGACCAGAGAGAGACCAGAGAGAGACCAGAGAGAGACCAGAGAGAGACCAGAGAGAGACCAGAGAGAGAGAGACAGAGAGACCAGAGAGAGACCAAGAGAGAGACCAGAGAGAGACCAGAGAGAGACCAGAGAGGGACCAGAGAGAGACCAGAGAGAGAGACCAGAGAGAGACCAGAGAGAGACCAGAGAGAGGCCAGAGAGAGACCAGAGAGAGGCCAGAGAGACCAGAGAGAGGCCAGAGAGAGACCAGAGAGAGACCAGAGAGCAACCAGAGAGCAACCAGAGAGAGACCCGAGAGAGACCACAGAGGAGAGACCAGAGAGAGACCAGAGAGAGACCAGAGAGAGACCAGAGAGAGACCAGAGAGAGACCAGAGAGAGACCAGAGAGAGACCAGAGAGAGAGAGACCAGAGAGAGACCAGAGAGGGACCAGAGAGCAACCAGAGAGAGACCAGAGAGCAACCAGAGAGAGACCAGAGAGAGACCAGAGAGAGACCAGAGAGAGACCAGAGAGCAACCAGAGAGAGACCAGAGAGCAACCAGAGAGAGACCAGAGAGAGACCAGAGAGAGACCAGAGAGAGACCAGAGAGCAACCAGAGAGAGACCAGAGAGAGACCAGAGAGAGACCAGAGAGAGAGAGACCAGAGAGAGACCAGAGAGGGACCAGAGAGCAACCAGAGAGAGACCAGAGAGCAACCAGAGAGAGACCAGAGAGAGACCAGAGAGAGACCAGAGAGGGACCAGAGAGCAACCAGAGAGAGACCAGAGAGCAACCAGAGAGAGACCAGAGAGAGACCAGAGAGAGACCAGAGAGAGAGAGACCAGAGAAAGATCAGAGAGAGACCAGAGAAAGATCAGAGAGAGACCAGAGAGAGACCAGAGAGAGACCAGAGAGACCAGAGAGAGAGACCAGAGAGAGACCAGAGAGAGACCAGAGAGAGAGACCAGAGAGAGACCAGAAAGTGACTCTTACCTTTAGTCTGAAAAAGGGGATGCTGGGGGTAACAGTGAGATCAGTGGAAACCGCAGGAAGCAGCGACAAATCCAGAGCCTAAAGGAGAAAGTCACATTTGCAGCCAACGGCAAAATAATTCTTTTATTCCAACTTAAGCAAGAATTATTTCGACAGTGTGGGTTTGAAGCAGCGAAAATCAGGTTGATTTAAATAATTCAGCTTCTTAGCCTTAGATTATTATGAAGTACAGTATGTGTGGGCTCACCAGGGGGTCGTCTTGTTCCGAGAAAGTCGGGTGGGGATATATAAAAGCTTTTTCTGCAGAGATCTTGGAATATTTTACCAGTTTTACATCTGCAACACAAAAACTCATGTGTACATTTTATATAACCAACACAGTGATACAACAGGTCCCACAGCGGGGAAATGTCAGTGTTGCAATCACCAGTTATAGACCAGTAGGAATGAGGAGCACACAGCACAAGATCAATGAACAATAACTCTGTACTATAATAAAATAATATCTCTAGCTTTAGCATAATAAAGAAGCTAGTATGAAATCTAGCTTTAGCATAATAAAGAAGCTAGTATAAAATCTCTAGCTTTAGCATAATAAAGAAGCTAGTATATCATCTCTAGCTTTAGCATAATAAAGAAGCTAGTATAAAATCTCTAGCTTTAGCATAATAAAGAAGCTAGTATAAAATCTCTAGCTTTAGCATAATAAAGAAGCTAGTATAAAATCTCTAGCTTTAGCATAATAAAGAAGCTAGTATAAAATCTCTAGCTTTAGCATAATAAAGAAGCTAGTATAAAATCTCTAGCTTTAGCATAATAAAGAAGCTAGTATAAAATCTCTAGCTTTAGCATAATAAAGAAGCTAGTATAAAATCTCTAGCTTTAGCATAATAAAGAAGCTAGTATAAAATCTAGCTTTAGCATAATAAAGAAGCTAGTATAAAATCTAGCTTTAGCATAATAAAGAAGCTAGTATAAAATCTCTAGCTTTAGCATAATAAAGAAGCTAGTATAAAATCTCTAGCTTTAGCATAATAAAGAAGCTAGTATAAAATCTCTAGCTTTAGCATAATAAAGAAGCTAGTATAACATCTCTAGCTTTAGCATAATAAAGAAGCTAGTATAATATCTCTAGCTTTAGCATAATAAAGAAGCTAGTATAACATCTCTAGCTTTAGCATAATAAAGAAGCTAGTATAAAATCTCTAGCTTTAGCATAATAAAGAAGCTAGTATAAAATCTCTAGCTTTAGCATAATAAAGAAGCTAGTATAAAATCTCTAGCTTTAGCATAATAAAGAAGCTAGTATAAAATCTAGCTTTAGCATAATAAAGAAGCTAGTATAAAATCTCTAGCTTTAGCATAATAAAGAAGCTAGTATAAAATCTCTAGCTTTAGCATAATAAAGAAGCTAGTATAAAATCTCTAGCTTTAGCATAATAAAGAAGCTAGTATAAAATCTAGCTTTAGCATAATAAAGAAGCTAGTATAAAATCTCTAGCTTTAGCATAATAAAGAAGCTAGTATAAAACCTCTAGCTTTAGCGTAATAAATGAGGCTGTGGGACACATTCTGACATTATTATAGGGGTGTGTTTATGAGTAAAAAGGATGAAAAGCAGTGTGCTGGGAAAGAGCACGGATGGATTGATTGATAGCACCTTCTTCTGCCGTCGGAGCCTTTTTCATTTCCTTGATCAGTTTTCGGAGGCAGACCAGCCTTCGATTCATTCGGCAGCGGATCACAATCTGCGGGATCAACACCACACACAATCATTTCTATGTACGCTCACAAAGGCCGGCTAGCGCTAATGTAGCCTGTAGAAGCTTCCCCAGTGATGCTAGCCTGACTGTAAGGTTATTCTGCAGTGGAAAAACAACGTTGTGAACTGGCCATGGTTTAGATTGAGGTGGAGCTGGGGTCAGAGCCCTGTGGCCTTGTTCATGCTCGTCGTTTCTGCTTTAGTGGAGGAATTCTGGGAGAAATGCAGAACGGGCAGAAGGTTCAATGTCTTCTGTGTTATCGGAGAATGAGTGAAATATGTTTTTTTTCCCACAGCTGTTCTATAAATGGTGAGAATGAATCCCAGATACAGACAGGCATGCTGAAGTTTCAAAGGACGTGACACTGAAATATTTTTTCTCTGATCTACTTTTTGACTAATAAAGCCTGAAAGTCTCAGAAAAAAATGTTTTAGTTAGTTAAAGTTATGTATATACACTACAAAAAAATGATAAAATATGAGGTAATAACTGCTTGAATATGTTTTTTATCTCAATCTGACACATTCTGACTGTGGTAAAACCAGATTCTCCAACGGGACAAAGACATTTAGTTTTATTTCAAGAATTGTTGCTTTTTTTCTTATTCCAAAGAGAGACATTTCTTGTATCTTTTTAAAACAAGATAATTTTGTTTTGTCTCGTTGGAAAATCTTGTTTACGACTCTGAGTCAGAATGTCAAATGAAAATACATTGAGCCAAATTTGAGCAATTTTGTACTTATTTTGTTTTACTAACAGCGGCACTTACACATACACAGGGTTTGTATTGTTCTATGAATCAGGTTATTATTTTGGTCTTCCTCACTGTATCTGTCATTGTGTGCACTTTTGAGGAGCCCTCGAAAACAGGACGTTTAGGGGCGTATCCTCCAAACAAACAAACAAACAAACAAATCAATCAAAAGCTTGTTGACGAAATCCAAACACAAATGAACATGTGCTCAGTAAACACAGACCTTTTAACGAACCCAACCAGACGTTACTATCTACATCTGTGACCTCAGACATGTGACTATCTAACTGACTGGGTTAGACATGTGACTGTGATCTTAGACATGTGACTATCTAACTGACTGGGTTAGACATGTGACTGTGACCTTAGACATGTGACTATCTAACTGACTGGGTTAGACATGTGACTGTGACCTTAGACATGTGACTATCTAACTGACTGGGTTAGACATGTGACTGTGACCTTAGACATGTGACTATCTAACTGACTGGGTTAGACATGTGACTATCTAACTGACTGGGTTAGACATGTGACTGTGATCTTAGACGTGTCACTATCTAACTGACTGGGTTAGACATGTGACTGTGACCTTAGACATGTGACTATCTAACTGACTGGGTTAGACATGTGACTGTGACCTTAGACATGTGACTATCTAACTGACTGGGTTAGACATGTGACTGTGACCTTAGACATGTGACTATCTAACTGACTGGGTTAGACATGTGACTGTGACCTTAGACATGTGACTATCTAACTGACTGGGTTAGACATGTGACTGTGACCTTAAGCATGTGACTATCTAACTGACTGGGTTAGACATGTGACTGTGACCTTAGACATGTGACTATCTAACTGACTGGGTTAGACATGTGACTGTGACCTTAGACATGTGACTATCTAACTGACTGGGTTAGACATGTGACTGTGACCTTAGACATGTGACTATCTAACTGACTGGGTTAGACATGTGACTGTGACCTTAGACATGTGACTATCTAACTGACTGGGTTAGACATGTGACTGTGACCTTAGACATGTGACTATCTAACTGACTGGGTTAGACATGTGACTGTGATCTTAGACATGCGACTGTGACCTTAGACATGTGACTATCTAACTGACTGGGTTAGACATGTGACTGTGACCTTAGACATGCGACTGTGATCTTAGACATATGACTGTGATCTTAGACATGTGACTGTGATCTTAGACATGTGACTGTGATCTTAGACATGCGACTGTGACCTTAGACATGTGACTATCTAACTGACTGGGTTAGACATGTGACTGTGACCTTAGACATGTGACTATCTAACTGACTGGGTTAGACATGTGACGGTGATCTTAGACATGCGACTGTGACCTTAGACATGCGACTGTGACCTTAGACATGCGACTGTGACCTTAGACATGCGACTGTGACCTTAGACATGTGACTGTGACCTTAGACATGTGGCTGTGACTTTAGACATGTGACTGTGACCTTAGACATGCGACTGTGACCATAGACATGCAACTGTGATATTAGACATGTGACTGTGATCTTAGACATGTGACTGTGATCTTAGACATGTGACTGTGACCTTAGACATGCAACTGTGACCTTAGACATGTGACTGTGACCTTAGACATGTGACTGTGACGTTAGACATGCAACTGTGATCTTAGACATGTGACTATGACCTTAGACATGCGATTGTGATCTTAGACATGCGACTGTGACCTTAGACATGTGACTGTGACCTTAGACATGTGACTGTGACCTTAGACATGCGACTGTGATCTTAGACATGCGACTGTGACCTTAGACATGTGACTGTGATCTTAGACATGTGACTGTGACCTTAGACATGCGACTGTGACCTTAGACATGCGACTGTGACCTTAGACATGCGACTGTGATCTTAGACATGCGACTGTGACCTTAGACATGTGACTGTGATCTTAGACATGTGACTGTGATCTTAGACATGTGACTGTGACCTTAGACATGTGACTGTGATTTTAGACATTTGACTGTGATCTTAGACATGTGACCGTGACCTTAGACATGTGACTGTGACCTTAGACATGCAACTGTGATCTTAGACATGTGACTGTGACCTTAGACATGCAACTGTGATTTTAGACATTTGACTGTGATCTTAGACATGTGACCGTGACCTTAGACATGTGACTGTGACCTTAGACATGCGACTGTGATCTTAGACATGTGACTGTGACCTTAGACATGTGACTGTGACCTTAGACATGCGACTGTGATCTTAGACATGTGACTGTGATCTTAGACATGTGACTGTGACATTAGACATGTGACTGTGATCTTAGACATGTGACTGTGACCTTAGACATGTGACTGTGATCTTAGACATGTGACTGTGATCTTAGACATGTGACTGTGATCTTAGACATGTAACTGTGACCTTAGACATGTGACTGTGACCTTAGACATGTGACTGTGATCTTAGACATGTGACTGTGACCTTAGACATGTGACTGTGATCTTAGACATGTGATCTTAGACCTTAGACATGCGACTGTGATCTTAGACATGTGACTGTGATCTTAGACATGTCACTGTGACCTTAGACATGTGACTGTGATCTTAGACATGTGATCTTAGACCTTAGACATGCGACTGTGATCTTAGACATGTGACTGTGATCTTAGACATGTGACTGTGACCTTAGACATGTGACTGTGATCTTAGACATGTGACTGTGATCTTAGACATGTGACTGTGATCTTAGACATGTAACTGTGACCTTAGACATGTGACTGTGACCTTAGACATGTGACTGTGATCTTAGACATGTGACTGTGACCTTAGACATGTGACTGTGATCTTAGGCATGTGATCTTAGACCTTAGACATGCGACTGTGATCTTAGACATGTGACTGTGATCTTAGACATGTCACTGTGACCTTAGACATGTGACTGTGATCTTAGACATGTGATCTTAGACCTTAGACATGCGACTGTGATCTTAGACATGTGACTGTGATCTTAGACATGTGACTGTGATCTTAGATATGTGACTGTGACCTTAGACATGTGACTGTGACCTTAGACCTTAGACATGCGACTGTGATCTTAGACATGTGATCTTAGACCTTAGACATGCGACTGTGATCTTAGACATGTGATCTTAGACCTTAGATTTGCGACTGTGATCTTAGACATATGACTGTGATCTTAGACATGTGACTGTGACCTTAGACCTTAGACATGCGACTGTGATCTTAGACATGTGATCTTAGACCTTAGACATGCGACTGTGATCTTAGACATGTGACTGTGATCTTAGACATGTGATCTTAGACCTTAGACATGCGACTGTGATCTTAGACATGTGACTGTGATCTTAGACATGTGACTGTGATCTTAGACATGTGACTGTGATCTTAGACATGTGACTGTGACCTTAGACATGTGACTGTGACCTTAGACCTTAGACATGCGACTGTGATCTTAGACATGTGATCTTAGACCTTAGACATGCGACTGATCTTAGACATGTGATCTTAGACCTTAGATTTGCGACTGTGATCTTAGACATGTGACTGTGATCTTAGACATGTGACTGTGACCTTAGACATGTGACTGTGACCTTAGACCTTAGACATGCGACTGTGATCTTAGACCTTAGACATGCGACTGTGATCTTAGACATGTGACTGTGATCTTAGACATGTGACTGTGACCTTAGACATGTGACTGTGACCTTAGACCTTAGACATGCGACTGTGATCTTAGACATGTGATCTTAGACCTTAGACATGCGACTGTGATCTTAGACATGTGACTGTGATCTTAGACATGTGACTGTGACCTTAGACATGTGACTGTGACCTTAGACCTTAGACATGCGACTGTGATCTTAGACATGTGATCTTAACCCTTAGATTTGCGACTGTGATCTTAGACATATGACTGTGATCTTAGACATGTGACTGTGATCTTAGACATGTGACTGTGATCTTAGACATGTGACTGTGACCTTAGACATGTGACTGTGACCTTAGACCTTAGACATGCGACTGTGATCTTAGACATGTGATCTTAACCCTTAGATTTGCGACTGTGATCTTAGACATATGACTGTGATCTTAGACATGTGACTGTGATCTTAGACATGTGACTGTGACCTTAGACATGTGACTGTGACCTTAGACCTTAGACATGCGACTGTGATCTTAGACCTTAGACATGCGACTGTGATCTTAGACATGTGACTGTGACCTTAGACCTTAGACATGCGACTGTGATCTTAGACCTTAGACATGCGACTGTGATCTTAGACATGTGACTGTGATCTTAGACATGTGACTGTGATCTTAGACATGTGACTGTGACCTTAGACATGTGACTGTGACCTTAGACCTTAGACATGCGACTGTGATCTTAGACATGTGATCTTAGACCTTAGACATGCGACTGTGATCTTAGACATGTGATCTTAGACCTTAGATTTGCGACTGTGATCTTAGACATATGACTGTGATCTTAGACATGTGACTGTGATCTTAGACATGTGACTGTGACCTTAGACCTTAGACATGTGACTGTGATCTTAGACATGTGACTGTGATTTTAGACATTTGACTGTGATCTTAGACATGTGACCGTGACCTTAGACATGTGACTGTGACCTTAGACATGCAACTGTGATCTTAGACATGTGACTGTGACCTTAGACATGCAACTGTGATTTTAGACATTTGACTGTGATCTTAGACATGTGACCGTGACCTTAGACATGTGACTGTGACCTTAGACATGCGACTGTGATCTTAGACATGTGACTGTGACCTTAGACATGTGACTGTGACCTTAGACATGCGACTGTGATCTTAGACATGTGACTGTGATCTTAGACATGTGACTGTGACATTAGACATGTGACTGTGATCTTAGACATGTGACTGTGACCTTAGACATGTGACTGTGATCTTAGACATGTGACTGTGATCTTAGACATGTGACTGTGATCTTAGACATGGACTAAACTGTGACCTTAGACATGTGACTGTGACCTTAGACATGTGACTGTGATCTTAGACATGTGACTGTGACCTTAGACATGTGACTGTGATCTTAGACATGTGATCTTAGACCTTAGACATGCGACTGTGATCTTAGACATGTGACTGTGATCTTAGACATGTCACTGTGACCTTAGACATGTGACTGTGATCTTAGACATGTGATCTTAGACCTTAGACATGCGACTGTGATCTTAGACATGTGACTGTGATCTTAGACATGTGACTGTGACCTTAGACATGTGACTGTGATCTTAGACATGTGACTGTGATCTTAGACATGTGACTGTGATCTTAGACATGTGACTGTGACCTTAGACATGTGACTGACTTAGACGGACTTAGACTGTGACTTGACTGACATGTGACTGTGATCTTAGACATGTGACTTAGACGACGTGACCTTAGACATGTGACTGTGATCTTAGGCATGTGATCTTAGACCTTAGACATGCGACTGTGATCTTAGACATGTGACTGTGATCTTAGACATGTCACTGTGACCTTAGACATGTGACTGTGATCTTAGACATGTGATCTTAGACCTTAGACATGCGACTGTGATCTTAGACATGTGACTGTGATCTTAGACATGTGACTGTGATCTTAGATATGTGACTGTGACCTTAGACATGTGACTGTGACCTTAGACCTTAGACATGCGACTGTGAGCTTAGACATGTGATCTTAGACCTTAGACATGCGACTGTGATCTTAGACATGTGATCTTAGACCTTAGATTTGCGACTGTGATCTTAGACATATGACTGTGATCTTAGACATGTGACTGTGATCTTAGACATGTGACTGTGACCTTAGACCTTAGACATGCGACTGTGATCTTAGACATGTGATCTTAGACCTTAGACATGCGAATGTGATCTTAGACATGTGACTGTGATCTTAGACATGTGATCTTAGACCTTAGACATGCGACTGTGATCTTAGACATGTGACTGTGATCTTAGACATGTGACTGTGATCTTAGACATGTGACTGTGATCTTAGACATGTGACTGTGACCTTAGACATGTGACTGTGACCTTAGACCTTAGACATGCGACGATCTGTGATCTTGAAGACATGTGATCTTAGACCTTAGACCTTAGACATGCGACTGATCTTAGACATGTGATCTTAGACCTTAGATTTGCGACTGTGATCTTAGACATGTGACTGTGATCTTAGACATGTGACTGTGACCTTAGACATGTGACTGTGCAGACCTTAGACCTTAGACATGCGACTGTGATCTTAGACCTTAGACATGCGACTGTGATCTTAGACATGTGACTGTGATCTTAGACATGTGACTGTGACCTTAGACATGTGACTGTGACCTTAGACCTTAGACATGCGACTGTGATCTTAGACATGTGATCTTAGACCTTAGACATGCGACTGTGATCTTAGACATGTGACTGTGATCTTAGACATGTGACTGTGACCTTAGACATGTGACTGTGACCTTAGACCTTAGACATGCGACTGTGATCTTAGACATGTGATCTTAACCCTTAGATTTGCGACTGTGATCTTAGACATATGACTGTGATCTTAGACATGTGACTGTGATCTTAGACATGTGACTGTGATCTTAGACATGTGACTGTGACCTTAGACATGTGACTGTGACCTTAGACCTTAGACATGCGACTGTGATCTTAGACATGTGATCTTAACCCTTAGATTTGCGACTGTGATCTTAGACATATGACTGTGATCTTAGACATGTGACTGTGATCTTAGACATGTGACTGTGACCTTAGACATGTGACTGTGACCTTAGACCTTAGACATGCGACTGTGATCTTAGACCTTAGACATGCGACTGTGATCTTAGACATGTGACTGTGACCTTAGACCTTAGACATGCGACTGTGATCTTAGACCTTAGACATGCGACTGTGATCTTAGACATGTGACTGTGATCTTAGACATGTGACTGTGATCTTAGACATGTGACTGTGACCTTAGACATGTGACTGTGACCTTAGACCTTAGACATGCGACTGTGATCTTAGACATGTGATCTTAGACCTTAGACATGCGACTGTGATCTTAGACATGTGATCTTAGACCTTAGATTTGCGACTGTGATCTTAGACATATGACTGTGATCTTAGACATGTGACTGTGACCTTAGACCTTAGACATGCGACTGTGATCTTAGACATGTGATCTTAGACCTTAGACATGCGACTGTGATCTTAGACATGTGACTGTGATCTTAGACATGTGATCTTAGACCTTAGACATGCGACTGTGATCTTAGACATGTGACTGTGATCTTAGACATGTGACTGTGATCTTAGACATGTGACTGTGATCTTAGACATGTGACTGTGACCTTAGACATGTGACTGTGACCTTAGACCTTAGACATGCGACTGTGATCTTAGACATGTGATCTTAGACCTTAGACATGCGACTGATCTTAGACATGTGATCTTAGACCTTAGATTTGCGACTGTGATCTTAGACATGTGACTGTGATCTTAGACATGTGACTGTGACCTTAGACATGTGACTGTGACCTTAGACCTTAGACATGCGACTGTGATCTTAGACCTTAGACATGCGACTGTGATCTTAGACATGTGACTGTGATCTTAGACATGTGACTGTGACCTTAGACATGTGACTGTGACCTTAGACCTTAGACATGCGACTGTGATCTTAGACATGTGATCTTAGACCTTAGACATGCGACTGTGATCTTAGACATGTGACTGTGATCTTAGACATGTGACTGTGACCTTAGACATGTGACTGTGACCTTAGACCTTAGACATGCGACTGTGATCTTAGACATGTGATCTTAACCCTTAGATTTGCGACTGTGATCTTAGACATATGACTGTGATCTTAGACATGTGACTGTGATCTTAGACATGTGACTGTGATCTTAGACATGTGACTGTGACCTTAGACATGTGACTGTGACCTTAGACCTTAGACATGCGACTGTGATCTTAGACATGTGATCTTAACCCTTAGATTTGCGACTGTGATCTTAGACATATGACTGTGATCTTAGACATGTGACTGTGATCTTAGACATGTGACTGTGACCTTAGACATGTGACTGTGACCTTAGACCTTAGACATGCGACTGTGATCTTAGACCTTAGACATGCGACTGTGATCTTAGACATGTGACTGTGACCTTAGACCTTAGACATGCGACTGTGATCTTAGACCTTAGACATGCGACTGTGATCTTAGACATGTGACTGTGATCTTAGACATGTGACTGTGATCTTAGACATGTGACTGTGACCTTAGACATGTGACTGTGACCTTAGACCTTAGACATGCGACTGTGATCTTAGACATGTGATCTTAGACCTTAGACATGCGACTGTGATCTTAGACATGTGATCTTAGACCTTAGACATGCGACTGTGATCTTAGACATGTGACTGTGATCTTAGACATATGACTGTGATCTTAGACATGTGACTGTGACCTTAGACCTTAGACATGCGACTGTGATCTTAGACATGTGATCTTAGACCTTAGACATGCGACTGTGATCTTAGACATGTGATCTTAGACCTTAGATTTGCGACTGTGATCTTAGACATATGACTGTGATCTTAGACATGTGACTGTGATCTTAGACATGTGACTGTTGAGGCTAACGCAGCTGTACCTTATAGGCCGCCTGCTGAAACAGCTGCAGACACCTGTGCTTCAGATCCCAGTTTACACTGGTGTGGGACTGGAACTGAGGCCTGACGTCTGGAATCTGGACACAAATATCATCAATTATACAACAATAACAACAATAACAACAACAACAATAACAACAATAACATCCGGAGCCAGGACCAGCAGCGACTGGGACCAAACAAATAGTTTCATGTTATAATCATAGACTGTATATATTATCTCCGCCGTTCTAACTAATGGGCCAAAAATAGTGCTCTACTGGAGCTATCCAAAATGGCCGCGACTGATCCCGCCCACAAGAAAATTGTGAAAAAACCCATCTGCGCATGCGTCAGCCGTTCATTTAAACGAGTGACTTCTAAAGTCCACAGCGACTAAACTAGACTGGTCCAGCACACTCAGCATTGACACACATGTGGAACGGAGCTTTGGGCCAAGAGCCAACTTTTGGACCATCCTGTAAAGACGTTTTCCAGAGGTCACCTAATGCTATATGTTAGCATTGGCTAATTCTGCTTCTGGGTCCTCCCCCACAGGCCCGGGGTGGTATTGCAGCATGTCAGCGCACGTCATTTTGGACACTTTTGAGCCTGGACCCGCCCCCACTGGTTATAATACAATATAATATATATATAATACACACACACACACATATTCTATGTGTGTGTGTGTGTGTGTGTGTGTGTGTGTGTGTGTGTGTGTGTATGTGTGTGTGTGTGTGTGTGTGTGTGTGTTAGGGTTATTCTATACCTTTGCTCATTAGAACTGCAGTGACTTGAGCACTTGGCCTTTAACACTGGGCCCAGCACTGATAGAATTATTCATAAGTTATTTTCATATTTGTTTGATCATTTGGTACTTGCCTGTCCGAGTTCTAGAACCACTCTTTCATTGGACAGCAGAGGTTTCCCAAAGTAAAGAGGCCGCTCTTCTCTCGCCCGTCCACTTTGTACCTGCCAAAAATAACATTTAAAACTAAATATCTAAGTCATTATTTATTTATACAACGTTGTGGGCCTTAGTCTCTCAGTCCACACAGAGATGAGAGACCTGTCAGACCTATTGGTCATGATTTTAGTGGTAGGGGAAACCAGAGCACCTGGAGGAAACCTATGCAGACACAGGGAGAACATGCAAACTCCACACAGAAAGGCCTGTGTTCCATTCCACTTTCAAACCGCACTTAAAACTCTTAATAATAATCATACATGTTATTTCTTAGGCGTCTTCTAGAGACTCAAGAATGTCTTACGTCATATAAAAAGTACATTTATTAAAACAGTTAAAATATTAAAGCCGCAAGCGGCGTTGAACGGCCCTCGCCGCACCGCACGCACCACCCCGCATCAAGCCGCCCCGCACCAAGCCACCCAGCACCAAGCCGCCCAGCACCAAGCCACCCCGCACCAAGCCGCCCCGCACCAAGCCACCCAGCACCAAGCCACCCCGCACCAAGCCGCCCAGCACCAAGCCGCCCAGCACCAAGCCGCCCAGCACCAAGCCGCCCAGCACCAAGCCACCCCGCACCAAGCCGCCCAGCACCAAGCCGCCCAGCACCAAGCCGCCCCGCACCAAGCCGCCCAGCACCAAGCCGCCCCGCACCAAGCCGCCCAGCACCAAGCCGCCCCGCACCAAGCCGCCCCGCACCAAGCCGCCCCGCACCAAGCCGCCCCGCACCAAGCCGCCCCGCACCAAGCCACCCCGCACCAAGCCGCCCAGCACCAAGCCGCCCAGCACCAAGCCGCCCCGCACCAAGCCGCCCAGCACCAAGCCGCCCAGCACCAAGCCGCCCAGCACCAAGCCGCCCCGCACCAAGCCGCCCCGCACCAAGCCGCCCCGCACCAAGCCGCCCCGCACCAAGCCGCCCCGCACCAAGCCGCCCCGCACCAAGCCGCCCCGCACCAAGCCGCCCCGCACCAAGCCGCCCCGCACCAAGCCGCCCAGCACCAAGCCGCCCCGCACCAAGCCGCCCAGCACCAAGCCGCCCCGCACCAAGCCGCCCCGCACCAAGCCGCCCAGCACCAAGCCGCCCAGCACCAAGCCGCCCCGCACCAAGCCGCCCCGCACCAAGCCGCCCCGCACCAAGCCGCCCCGCACCAAGCCGCCCCGCACCAAGCCGCCCCGCACCAAGCCGCCCCGCACCAAGCCGCCCCGCACCAAGCCGCCCCGCATCAAGCCACCCAGCACCAAGCCACCCAGCACCAAGCCACCCAGCACCAAGCCACCCAGCACCAAGCCGCCCCGCACCAAGCCACCCCGCACCAAGCCGCCCAGCACCAAGCCGCCATGCACCAAGCCGCTCCGCACCAAGCCGCACAGCACCAAGCCGCCCCGCACCAAGCCACCCAGCACCAAGCCGCCCCGCATCACGCCGCCCCGCACCACGCCGCCCCGCACCACGCCGCCCCGCACCAAGCCGCCCCGCACCAAGCCGCAACGCACCGCTCCACAACGCCCCGCACTACGTCGCACCACACCGTACCACGCAGCACCGCGCATAAGAGATGGCGCCGCCGTGTGATGATTGGTTCCCGTAGCCATAGAAGAACTTAGTCAAATTGTAATGAATATGATAAGTAGAGCTGGTTTGGCTCCCCATGTAAACTTTGAATCAGTCTGTAGGGGGCGCTAATGGGCCAATTTCAAATATTTCACTTTCACCTGACTTAAACCCTGGAGTTGAACAATGGATTCAAGTTTAATGCAAATCAGTCTTTGTTTGTGCAAACGGGGAAAAATGTATGTTGTCAAAAACGGCCAAAAAAACCCTCACATTTTGCCGCTCCGCTTCTCAAACAACGTTTGACTGATTAAAATTCCCTGAAGTAATTTTGAAGGTAAATGTGTTGAGATGATTTGGAACAATTTTGAGGCCAATCGGTGAAACGGCCGAGGAGGAGTCGCTTTCCAACCGACGTGTATGAAAATGATTGGTTTTCATTTTTCCATTTTGCAATGAAATTTATGGGCTTCCTGTTTGTCAGAGGGCTTAGCCATAATAACATTTTATCCATGTCTTGACTTGAGGAACATGTGTTCCAAATTACATGGCTCTACGACAATTTTGACCTCAAACCCATCCATAGGCATTTTTAAAATTGGCTGTTGTAGGTGGCGCTATAGAGCCAATTTCAAAATTTAAACTTTCAAATGACCTAGACGCAAGAGTTAAACCATGGATTCAAGTTTTGTGCCAATCACACTTTGTTTGTGCAAACGGAAACAATTTTTCTATTGTCAAAAACTGAAAAAAAATACGCCACTTTTTGGCGCTCGCTGCTCAAACAACGTTTCACTGATCAAAATTCCCTGAAAGTCATTTTGATGGTACATGTGTTGAGATGATGTGGAGCGATTTTGAGGCGAATCGGTGAAACGGCCGAGGCTGGTTTGATGTTTGTGTGAGGTGTACATTTGCAATGAATGGGGAGCGTTTGTCGTCGCCACGGCAACAGGGTAAAAAATAAGCCTTGGACCCAATTGACTTTTTGAATCAAGAGGGCAAAACAGATTTATGTGCAAAATTTCAAACATTTTGAAAAAACTAAATTTGAAAATGCCCATCTAAAAACTTTGAAATAGTCTGTAGGGGGCGCTAATGTGTCAATTTGAATTAATTCACTTTCAAATGACCTAGACCCTAGAGTTGAACAATGTATTAAAGTTTTGTGCAAATCAGACTTTGTTTGTGCAAACGGGAGCAAATTTAATGTTGTCAAAAACGGCCAAAAAAAGGTCACATTTTGCCGCTCCGCTGCTCGAACAATGTTTCACTGATCAAAAATCCCTGAGGTCATTTTGAAGGTACATGTGTTGAGATGATGTGGAGCGATTTTGAGGCGAATCGGTGAAACGGCCGAGGAGGAGTCGCTTTCCAACCGTCATGTATGAAAACTTTTGCTGTTCATTTTTCCATTTTGCAGTGACATTTATGGGCTTCCTGTTTGTCAGGGGGCGGGGCCATAATAATATTTTTTTCTTGTCTTGACTTGAGGAACATGTGTACCAAATTTCATGGCTCTACGACAAACTTGACCTCCGAAAAGTCCCATAGGGGTATTATTTTGGCTGTTGTAGGTGGCGCTGTTCTGTCATTTTTTGAGTCCCATAAAAATAAACACCAAAATATCAAATTTTTCGCCAGGTCTGATTTTTGGGCCAAAATTAACAACTTTTCATGCATATTCAGGGGGTCAAATTAAGGCTCAAAGTGCAGAAGAAAAAAGAAAGAAAGAAAGAAAGAAATAAATAAAAAAGGAATTTTTTTTTTAACGTCTCGAGCAAAAACAATATAGGTTTCAATGGCATGTGATACATCATTTTAAAGCTTTTGAGTTTACGCACGCAACCGTCACGTTTTGGTGAGTGACGGGCGCTGACGCGTCCGTGTCTGCTCTGGTCTGGACCAGTGTAAAACCATGAATCCTCTCTGCTCTGGTCTGGACCAGTGTGAAACCATGAATCCTCTCTGCTCTGGTCTGGACCAGTGTAAAACCATGAATCCTCTCTGCTCTGGTCTGGACCAGTGTAAAACCATGAATCCTCTCTGCTCTGGTCTGGACCAGTGTAAAACCATGAATCCTCTCTGCTCTGGTCTGGACCAGTGTGTAAAACCATGAATCCTCTCTGCTCTGGTCTGGACCAGTGTAAAACCATGAATCCTCTCTGCTCTGGTCTGGACCAGTGTGAAACCATGAATCCTCTCTGCTCTGGTCTGGACCAGTGTAAAACCATGAATCCTCTCTGCTCTGGTCTGGACCAGTGTAAAACCATGAATCCTCTCTGCTCTGGTCTGGACCAGTGTGAAACCATTAACACTGAGCTGCAGCAACATTTTAGATAACATAAAATGCATAAATACAAAACTGTTTCAGAGACATTAGGACCTGCTGCTGTCCTGTCTGTGCGCTGCAACACTGACATTTCCTCCCGTCCTGTCAGTGCGCTGCAACACTGACATTTCCTCCCGTCCTGTCAGTGCGCTGCAACACTGACATTTCCTCCCGTCCTGTCAGTGCGCTGCAACACTGACATTTCCTCCCGTCCTGTCAGTGCGCTGCAACACTGACATTTCCTCCTGTCCTGTCAGTGCGCTGCAACACTGACATTTCCTCCCGTCCTGTCAGTGCGCTGCAACACTGACATTTCCTCCCGTCCTGTCAGTGCGCTGCAACACTGACATTTCCTCCCGTCCTGTCAGTGCGCTGCAACACTGACATTTCCTCCTGTCCTGTCAGTGCGCTGCAACACTGACATTTCCTCCCGTCCTGTCAGTGCGCTGCAACACTGACATTTCCTCCTGTCCTGTCAGTGCGCTGCAACACTGACATTTCCTCCCGTCCTGTCAGTGCGCTGCAACACTGACATTTGAATCAGAACAGCATCATCTCAGAGACTTCACAAAACCCTTTAAATCACCACAGATCAGAGAATCAACAGTTAACACATACACAACATAGAACACATGTTATAAATGTCATACATGTTGATAAATGTCATACATGTTATAAATGTTAAAGTGTTCTGGATTATCACAGTCCACAGGAAAAACGATATATCTGGATTGCCTTGAAGTTTATAAAGATATAAAAACTTATAGATGTAGTTCAGTGCACTTTGGATTGACTTTTTTAGTTGCCAGAAAAAAGGTGGAGCCCTGAAAGTGACGACTTAAATGAAAAAACACTCACACCTCACCTGGTCCTGCTCTCAGACCTCACATGGTCCTGCTCTCAGACCTCACCTGGTCCTGCTCTCAGACCTCACATGGTCCTGCTCTCAGACCTCACCTGGTCCTGCTCTCAGACCTCACATGGTCCTGCTCTCAGACCTCACCTGGTCCTGCTGTCAGACCTCACTTGGTCCTGCTCTCAGACCTCACCTGGTCCTGCTGTCAGACCTCACTTGGTCCTGCTCTCAGACCTCACCTGGTCCTGCTCTCAGACCTCACCTGGTCCTGCTGTCAGACCTCACCTGGTCCTGCTGTCAGACCTCACTTGGTCCTGCTCTCAGACCTCACCTGGTCCTGCTCTCAGACCTCACCTGGTCCTGCTCTCAGACCTCACCTGGTCCTGCTCTCAGACCTCACATGGTCCTGCTCTCAGACCTCACCTGGTCCTGCTCTCAGACCTCACCTGGTCCTGCTCTCAGACCTCACCTGGTCCTGCTCTCAGACCTGTAGACAGACCTCTGCTGGTTTTGATGTTTTCACCAAATGTTTTTTGGTTCTTCTGCTTCAGAGAAAAAGTGTCTTGTATTCAGGAGTTCATTGTTTTTATATGTAAATGAGCAGTATGTACCCATGTGGTCCAAAGTGGTACTGCAGCCTCTCCCACTCTTCCTGACTCAGGTTGCCAGATATGCAGACGAATCCAGCTGGGACCATAACAGCTGAATAGACAAGAGTTTTGTCAACAACAAATCTATAACCAACACCTTTTTCACAAAGATAGAAATCCTGCTTTTATTCCTTGTTTTGTCGTTAATGATTTGAGAATCATAACGAGACCCTTTTTAGTTACGTGGTACTTTGGCCGGTCTCACTGGTAATCAGAGCCCAGGCCTCACATGACCGGCCAATCAGAGCCCAGGCCTCACATGACCGGCCAATCAGAACCCAGGCCTCACATGTCCGGCCAATCAGAACCCAGGCCTCACACGACCGGCCAATCAGAACCCAGGCCTCACACGACCGGCCAATCAGAACCCAGGCCTCACATGTCCGGCCAATCAGAACCCAGGCCTCACACGACCGGCCAATCAGAACCCAGGCCTCACATGTCCGGCCAATCAGAACCCAGGCCTCACACGACCGGCCAATCAGAACCCAGGCCTCACACGACCGGCCAATCAGAACCCAGGCCTCACACGACCGGCCAATCAGAACCCAGGCCTCACACGACCTGCCAATCAGAACCCAGGCCTCACACGACCGGCCAATCAGAACCCAGGCCTCACATGTCCAGCCAATCAGAACCCAGGCCTCACATGACCGGCCAATCAGAACCCAGGCCTCACACGACCTGCCAATCAGAACCCAGGCCTCACACGACCGGCCAATCAGAACCCAGGCCTCACATGTCCGGCCAATCAGAACCCAGGCCTCACACGACCTGCCAATCAGAACCCAGGCCTCACATGACCGGCCAATCAGAACCCAGGCCTCACATGTCCGGCCAATCAGAGCCCAGGCCTCACACGACCGGCCAATCAGAACCCAGGCCTCACATGACCGGCCAATCAGAACCCAGGCCTCACACGACCGGCCAATCAGAACCCAGGCCTCACACGACCGGCCAATCAGAGCCCAGGCCTCACACGACCGGCCAATCAGAGCCCAGGCCTCACACGACCGGCCAATCAGAACCCAGGCCTCACATGACCGGCCAATCAGAACCCAGGCCTCACACGACCGGCCAATCAGAGCCCAGGCCTCACACGACCGGCCAATCAGAGCCCAGGCCTCACACGACCGGCCAATCAGAACCCAGGCCTCACATGACCGGCCAATCAGAACCCAGGCCTCACACGACCGGCCAATCAGAGCCCAGGCCTCACACGACCGGCCAATCAGAGCCCAGGCCTCACACGACCGGCCAATCAGAACCCAGGCCTCACATGACCGGCCAATCAGAACCCAGGCCTCACACGACCGGCCAATCAGAGCCCAGGCCTCACATGTCCGGCCAATCAGAACCCAGGCCTCACATGTCCGGCCAATCAGAACCCAGGCCTCACACGACCTGCCAATCAGAACCCAGGCCTCACACGTCCAGCCAATCAGAACCCAGGCCTCACATGACCGGCCAATCAGAACCCAGGCCTCACACGACCGGCCAATCAGAACCCAGGCCTCACACGTCCAGCCAATCAGAGCCCAGGCCTGAGTGATGAGGGTTTCTCCTTTAACGCCTGATGAGAAAGAGGGGTCCTTCAAAGGGTCCTTCAGATGAACAGTATTTTATCTCAGTGAAGTATTTCTGTGAAGCACAAAGACACAGGATACATTTTCTTTGAACTTCCTGAGGACAGCGACACAGACGGTCTGAGGTCTAAGGAAAGAAGAGCGTTTAAAGGAGAAAATGTAAACATAACTTGTGGCATTGAAACGACACAACTCCATTAGTTTATCCACTTCTTTTTCTCTCTTAAGGAAAACCAATAATCTTTTTGAGTTTTAACCACGTCACGTTTGTCCGTCCTTGACCCCAGTGTTTTTAGTCCGGTTTCAAAAGCAGCTCTGGTCGATGTTGACAAAAATAACATGGCGTCGTTTTTCACTTCTACCACCAGAGGGAGGTGTTTTGTTACTGAGATCCTTTCAATCTTCTCACAGCTCCCATTGCATAAGGAAAACATATCTCTCTGGTCTCTCTCTGGTCTCTCTCTGGTCTCTCTGGTCTCTCTGGTCTCTCTCTGGTCTCTCTCTGGTCTCTCTCTGGTCTCTCTCTGGTCTTTCTCTGGTCTCTCTCTGGTCTCTCTCTGGTCTCTCTCTCTGGTCTCTCTCTCTGGTCTCTCTCTCTGGTCTCTCTCTCTGGTCTCTCTCTCTGGTCTCTCTCTCTCTGGTCTCTCTCTCTGGTCTCTCTCTCTGGTCTCTCTCTCTGGTCTCTCTCTGGTCTCTCTCTCTCTGGTCTCTCTCTCTGGTCTCTCTTTCTGGTCTCTCTCTCTGGTCTCTCTATGGTCTCTCTCTTGTCTCTCTCTGGTCTCTCTCTCTGGTCTCTCTCTCTGGTCTCTGTTCTCTCTCTCTGGTCTCGAAAAGGTATTCGCACTGTTAGACCCGTGTCACTGTCACGTTTCACCTCAGAAATACAGCAAGGATTAGAGACCAGAGAGGGAGACCAGGGGGAGAGACCAGAGAGAGACCAGAGAGAGACCAGAGAGAGACCAGAGAGAGACCAGAGAGAGAGACCAGAGAGAGAGACCAGAGAGAGAGACCAGAGAGAGAGACCAGAGAGAGAGACCAGAGAGAGAGACCAGAGAGAGACCAGAGAGAGACCATAGAGAGAGACCATAGAGAGAGACCAGAGAGAGACCAGAGAGAGACCAGAGAGAGACCATAGAGAGAGACTATAGAGAGAGACCAGAGAGAGAGACCAGAGAGAGACCAGAGAGAGACTCTGGTCTCTCTCTCGCTGGTCTCTCTCTATGGTCTCTCTGGCATCTCTCTCTGGTCTCTCTCTGGTCTCTCTCGCTGGCCTCTCTCTCTCTGGTCTCTATCTCTCTGGTCTCTCTCTCTCTGGTCTCTCTCTCTGGTCTCTCTCTCTGGTCTCTCTCTCTCTCTGGTGTCTCTCTCTCGCTGATCTCTCTCTCTATGGTCACTCTCTCTGGTCTCGCTCTCTCTGGTCTCTCTCTCTCTGGTCTCTCGCTCTGGTGTCTCTCTCTCTGGTGTCTCTCTCTCTCTCTCTGGTGTATCTCTCTCTGGTCTCTCGCTCTGGTGTCTCTCTCTCTGGTGTCTCTCTCTCTCTCTGGTGTCTCTCTCTCTGGCCTCTCTCTCTGGTCTCGCTCTTTCTGGTCTCTCTCGCTCTGGCTTTTCTCTCTATGCATTTACCATTCTAACAAAACGCAGCAAAGAGCAGTTCCATCTTGTTTCTTTGAACCTGCCTCACTCTGATTTAAAATCTCTCTCGTCTCGTCGGTAACAACGTGTTTTTCAGAAACTGATATTTAAGGAGAATGAAGATGATTTGGAAAAGGCGAATTTTGATAAATGTTTATTATTATTGCTGCACTCAAGTGTAATCACAGACGACAGGAAACAGGTGAAACTATGAGACGTCTGGTATCAGAGAGAGAGACCAGAGAGAGAGAGACCAGAGAGTGAGGGACCAGAGAGAGAGACCAGAGAGAGAGAGACCAGAGAGAGAGAGACCAGAGAGAGAGAGACCAGAGAGAGAGACCAGAGAGAGAGACCAGAGAGAGAGACCAGAGAGAGAGACCAGAGAGCGAGACCAGAGAGCGAGACCAGAGAGAGAAGGACCAGAGAGAGGGACCAGAGAGAGAGACCAGAGAGAGAGACCAGAGAGAGAGACCAGAGAGAGACCAGAGAGAGACCAGAGAGAGAGACCAGAGAGAGACCAGAGAGAGACCAGAGAGAGAGGGACCAGAGAGAGAGACCAGAGAGAGAGAGACCAGAGAGAGAGACCAGAGAGAGACCAGAGAGAGAGACCAGAGAGCGAGACCAGAGAGAGAGACCAGAGAGAGAGACCAGAGAGCGAGACCAGAGAGCGAGGGACCAGAGAGAGAGGGACCAGAGAGGGGGACCAGAGAGAGAGACCAGAGAGAGAGAGACCAGAGAGAGAGGGACCAGAGAGAGAGACCAGAGAGAGAGAGACCAGAGAGAGAGACCAGAGAGAGACCAGAGAGAGAGACCAGAGAGCGAGACCAGAGAGAGAGACCAGAGAGAGAGACCAGAGAGCGAGACCAGAGAGCGAGACCAGAGAGAGAGGGACCAGAGAGAGGGACCAGAGAGAGAGACCAGAGAGAGAGACCAGAGAGAGAGACCAGAGAGAGACCAGAGAGAGAGACCAGAGAGAGACCAGAGAGAGAGACCAGAGAGAGAGACCAGAGAGAGAGAGACCAGAGAGAGAGAGACCAGAGAGTTACCATACTCCTGGGTTCGAAATTACATTATGGGGATACATTTGACGTACAAATGTATGAATGAATACGCGGTCATAATCCCTCCCGAAATGTATTGATTTTCTAATATTTGCTCGTGGAGAGAGGGTAACATTATGTACTCGTGAAGAAGATGATAAAGTCTGGGATCGCGTCTTTCATTCAGACAGAAGACATGCTTTATTGTCGATGGTAGAGACAGCAGAGATAGTCAAAACAAGTAGTGGAAAAGTACAGGCTTCTGCACATTGATAGAATGATGAGTTTAACTTTAACAAAAGTTACTTAAAAGTGTTATGAAATCTCACACTAGTAAAAAAGATAAATTACGTTTCATTTATGTGTGTTGTTTCACATGGATGTAGCCTCATCACTAATCCTCTTCCATAGTATCTTATCTCTTGATATCTAATGGTGAAAGGAAGTCAATATTAATACAAAGTCAGAGATTTCCATCTTTTTTAAATTAGATATTTTTGTGTGGATGTTTGATCAGCTTTTAATTATTATTTGGTGGTCATTTAACAACATCTTCTCTTTTTCTCCCCAGAGCCATCCTCGATCCTCTTTCTTGCCCTCTGTGGTGACAGCTTTTGGAGTAATTACATAAAACCAGCCGCAGCAAATACACGGACGTCAAAGGCCTTTTATCAATGCAGACGACCTTCTGACGCCATGCTGAGCTTTGTGAGGGTCCCTGCTGTCTGTCACACCCTTGTGTCTTTCGTATCTTGAATCTGTATGCCTGCTTCTATCCATATGTCCCTGCTGCCAGGAAGGAGCCGGGCCCCCCCGACACCTACAGACAATGGCGATCACTCTTGCCCCCTTTCACCTCTTGCATATGTATCGGTCTGTATGTGTGCACTTTCTACATCCTGCAGTCTGTTTGCATCCCTATGCGCCTCCTGCACCGGTGGCCCCCCTCCCATCTGTTGTGGGCGGGACTGGCTTTCGTGTGTGTCTTGTATACAGGAAGCTCGGGGCTCTGGCCCCAGAGCTGGTACATGCTGCCTTTGTGTGTATGTGTTGGCTCTCCGCACGTGCGTTAACAATAAACTTACGCTTTTGATCAGACAAAGGACCTTTGAGTTTTCTCCTTCATGGGGTATATAATTCTATAACAATTTGGCGTTGCTGACATGTCTTGGCATGGATACTTTCGGCGGGGACGAGCGGCTTTGTTTGGCCGACCTGGATCACCAGCCTCTGTTCCTTTTTGGAGACAAAGGAGGGCGCGCTCGTCCCGCGCACGGAAGGAATCCTTTTGCCACACAAGACCAAAAAGAACCTAATCTGGTGAGTCTTGTCTTTTCATCTGCGTAACGAGCCCAGGGCAGCCCTTAAGTCGACACGGGGATTTGTTTATTTATGTATTTTTGGGGTATTTCATTCATTGCCACAGCATAGTCTGTGTGCGGGATTTTTTGGGGGCTTGTGTTCTAGATTGAAACTAGCGGCTGCGTGGTAGTAAATCGCTCTGTAAGCGACCCTGATAATTTCTCTGAGTGCCTTCAGCCAGAACCGGTCCGTTTTCAAGAACGCGCGCTCGTTGGTTGAACCAGCGGGGGGGGAACGGAGCGCCCCAAAGTGAGTACAGAGCAGGGAAGAGACTACACGGGTTAGGCCCATTGTTCTGTACGAGAAAATGGGAAAATCAATCTAGAAGATGCCATACCGAGGGGAATGTTAACGTCCCCCGTTACAATGGCCATGAGAAAACAGTTCGGACCTAAAAGCTATGGAGGCTCTATGTCTCTGAATCAATTACGCATCTGCGTGATAATTTAGAAGAAGAAGGGAAGAAAAAAAAAATATACTTGGTTTTAAGAATATCACGGCAAAAGAGGTTAGAGAAAGAAATATGTAAAAACAATAGCTCCTCCGCTTTTCACCGAAGCGGAGAACACACAGGCGGACACACAACACACACACACCCCCACCCCCCCCCCCCACCCTACCGCCCTCTCTACCTACCCTTTCACACTAGGAGCAGAACTCCATGCTAAGTACGCGCCCAAACAAGGCGTTGGGTTTTTAAAAAATGAAGCAGACTACTGTTGTCTCTTTTCCCTCTCCCTTATCCAGGTCTGTCGGCGCCTTTCCTCCGCGCTCTGTCCTCTGCCTCAAAGCACCAGCCCCACGCCCCAACCACAGGCGGCGCCCGCACCAGCTGAGACCCCGCGAGAAGTGGGCCCAAACCGCAGAAGAAGAAGAGGCGGAAACAGACACACGCTCAGGAAACCACAGAAGAAGAAGCGGGGAAGCAAATATGTGAGACACCGACAACTGCTCTGGAGCACAGAGAGAAACTGCTCCAAATCCCGTGACTGTTCTCCACGGAGGGGGCAGCGTGATATACCAAACGCACCCGCGGAAACCCCCTTGAAAGTTGTTCCCGCACCGCAAACAGAAGAAGCCATTGTGACCGGCACGTTTGGGTTATTCACCAACCCTCATGGACCACATGCTAACGCTTTGGGCTACCTGGGCCTCCTGCGGACTTTGAAAAACTTCCACAGCCCGGCGGAAAGACTGTGTGCTCGACATGGGTCGAAGGACTGTTACCGGAGGAGGCGTTACAGGCAGAGGAACGCCAAGCTCACACGGGGCCAGAGGACGGCAGAGGCGGGCGTGGAGGAAACACGAGCGACTGACCAAACCTGGGTTCACATTCGTCACCAAAGCGACCGCTCATGTAAGTTGAACAACAACAAATTGCAATTGGCACTTTTTAGAGATAATTCATGCCCGTAATATATACGCTAACAATCTGTGGTGTAACAGTTAAAATTCTGGATGATTACAACAAATCCTGTGTTTAAAAACAAAACATAAGGTGACAGATTTTGGTCCGTTCTCAAGTGAGTGGTCGCTTCACAAAACTCATGGCTTCAGTTAGGGCTGGGCAATTAATCGATTTTAATCATTAATTCGAGTTTTTACATTTAGGGCGATTTCTTTTCTTTTAAAATTCGATTTTTTATTTTCTCCATCGCAGAACTACAGCGCTAACGCGCTAACCGCGGGTCTATGGTGTTGAACAGTCATTTTGAAGCTAACCTAATGCTAACAGGCTCCCTCTGGCCTGATGCGCGCTCTCACAGTTGGTGCTGTTGCAATAACACTTCAAACGGTCAAGAATCAGACTTTATTTAAATCGCCAGAACACACACTCGTGTCCCACTGAGCCGCTGCACTTTGGGGAAAGACACGTCTCTCATTGCTCTGATACAAACAACGTGTTCCCCGCTAGCTGTTAGCTACAGTAGCTGTTAGCTACAGCATCAGAATGTAAACAGGAAGCTCGCACAATGCGGGAGCCACTGAAGTTAGTATTAGCGCCACCAGCTGGACCGAGCGTTGTACTACAGCACAGTTACTCAGGCACAGTTGGAAGAACAAGCATGAAAACCCGAGGAGGCTTTTGGAACAGACTGTCTGTTACAACATTTCTATTTTGAGTCATCAGTTTTAAAAATGTGATATTTCATGTAAATAATGCATGTGTTTAATAGGATTGATATATTTGCGATGGGCCTTGTTTGTGTGATTTAAGTTATTTGAAAGGTGCATAGTGTCATTGTAAGTGAAGTTATTATAAAACCGTTAAGCTACATTTTCGTAACAAGAGCTCATTAGAGATATAGGGGACACCATTTGTGATAAGCCCGACTACAGACCACGTGGTAAACACTAAAGTTGGAAATGGATTTCTTTTTTTTTAGGAAAACTCTTTTAAAGCTCTGCAGCTGCAGGCTCTGAAAGTTGCAACAATAAGAAATAGCTCATGAGACAATTGTAATTGGACATGGAAAATATAACAAAGTTAAAATTACAGGCCTTCTGTGTGTGTTACATGTTTGTGTGTTATATGTTTTGTGTATGTTATATGTTTGTGTGTCATGTCAAAGTACACTACGTTGACCTTAA